AACAGAAAAGAATTTAGAAAAAGCTTTTCATTGGTATCAAAAAGCAGCAGAAAAAGATCATATTGTTGCAATGAATATCCTAGGCATATGTTATAGAAATGGAGTAGGAACTGAAAAGAATTTAGAAAAAACCTTTCATTGGTGTCAAAAAGCAGCAGAAAAAGGTCATATTAACGCAATATTTAATTTAGCTGCATGTTATAGAAATGGAGAAGGAACAGAAAGGAATTTAAATAAAGCTTTTTATTGGCATCAAAAAGCAGTAGAAAGTAACAAAACAAATTCTAAAAATGAAGTTGTATATTGTTATGAATGCTTGCAACCTAATACTGACTACCAATGGTGCCAACAATGTAATACTAAACGATTTCAACAAGATTTTTCAAAGTGGACTAGTAAAAATAAATTTATTGATAAATTTATTCAAGAAGCACAAATAAATGCTAAAAATAGTTATGAAATTTTAGAGTGGATCCCTTACAGTAATTTATCAAGTATTGATTATTATACTAAAGGAGGATTTAGTGAAATTCATAAAGCTATCTGGTCAGACGGGCCTATTTTTACTTGGAATTTTGACAAACAACAATGGAATAGACAAACATGTTTTGAGGTTATTCTTAAAAAACTTAATAATTCATCAAGTTTAAATAGTGAATTTCTTGATGAGGTATAGTATTTATATTTAATAGCAAATTTATTTCCTTGTGCAAAAGTTTAATAATTTTTTTTGTTATTTACATAGTGGAAATATCATTACAATTGTCAGAAAAAGTCATTTTCGAAATTTATTCAATTTTTTGGAATTACCCAAGATCCAAATAATTTAAATTATATAATAGTAATGAGTTATGCGAAAAAAGGAAGTTTGAGAAAATGTTTATCTGATATAATTAAATCCAAGTGGCAAGAAAAATTACAATTATTGAAAAAAATAATATTGGGACTTAAAGTAATCCATGAATCAAATTTAACTCATGGTGATTTTCATGATGGTAATATTTTAGTATCAGATAGTTATAATGAGTTATTTATTATTGATTTAGGATTATGTAAACCTATAAGTAATTTACAAGATTCTGTCAATAAAGTTAATGAAATTTATGGAGTTTTACCTTATATGGCGCCTGAAATATTAAGAAAAAAACCTTATACACCAGCAAGTGATATTTATAGTTTTTCAATAATAATGTGGGAATTTACATCAGGTATCCCTCCATTTAATCATGAAACACATGATCTTCAGCTTAGTTTAAGTATTTGTGAAGGGAAACGTCCTGAAATTATAAAAAATACTCCAAAATGTTATATAGATTTAATGAAAAAATGTTGGGATTTAAATCCTTCCAATAGACCAACCATAATAATGCTTGAAAATATTATATCTGAATGGATTAGATGTATTAATAAATATTATGAAATAAACAGGGATGGAAATTATATATATATAGTACCTATTACTGATAATCAATTAAAAAATGATATGGAAGAATTTGTAGAGGCAGACCAAGCTTTATTACAAGGACAAGCGAATGCTTATATTATGCAATCTCATCCACAAGCATATTATACAAGTCGCAAACTTACTGAAATTTTAGTTCAAGAAGAGTCTCAGGGTTTTGATTGCATGATTGAGGATCATTAATTCTATTAAATATTCTTTATTTGTTGGATTATTTATCAGTTATTACTGCATATAGAAAGCATTATTATTAGTATCATCAAAAGTATATTCACTAGATATTTTTGCATTTTTCAAAGGTAAGAAGGTTAAGGAAAATTAAACTCCTTGATCAATGTGCCTTATATTTATTTTGTTATTAAAGAAGTAAAGATTATATAATTAATGGCTATAATTCTTTAATTAAAAATTTACACAAATTTAGAAAATTGGATAAAAAAATAGGAATAAAGAATAATCATATGTTATAAAAACCTAAAAATAAAAATAAAAAAGATAAAAAAGTTCAATTCGTTAATCATATTATTAAAATTGGCTTGAACTGTGGTTTGAAACCACAAAACCACAAGTTGAAGCCACAGTTTGAACCGGTTGAATCAAATTTGAAATGTTCAAACTGTCTCATGTCAGTTCAGTGTCAAACTGCTATCAGTAATACAGTAGGGTGGTACATTCAGCACTAATGATTGAGACATTTTCCAGATATCGAATAAAAATAAAATATAATAAAAAAGCTTGATAATGACTACAGTATTAAAAAATACAACTCTGCACTATATTTGACTATCAGTAAAAACAAAAATATGGATAATTTTGACTACATAACCTGAAAAGCAATACATTTTATTTTACCAAATAATTATATGAAACATAAATAACTTCCATACTTCTATTATATTCATGTCACATTTTACAAAGAAACAAAACCCCTGATATTAAAGATAAAAAGACAAAAACCGCAATGTTAAGTATGAAAATAATGAAATTTCAAAGTTAAAAAGATGAAAGGGGCAAAACATCAAAGATAAGAATGAAAATAACAAGTAAAAGAATAAAAATAACGAAATGCCAAGGTTAAAGAATGAAAAGGACGAAATTCTATTTTCTCCAAACTTAATATTAGACGTGTCTTTAAATCTAGAAAGAAATACCAAATAAAATGAGAAAGTAAAAACAAAAAGGAAACGAAAGAGGAAAAATTGGAACAAAAAAAAGAAAAGGGAACGAAAAGGAAGAAAATATATAGAAAGGTGATAAAGAACAAAAATAAAAAAGGTAGAAAGAAAATAATTTAAAAGGTCAAAAGGATGAAAACCATAATTCCATAAAGAACAAAACCCATAAAGTTAAAGAATAAAAGAAATAAAATAAGTTAGTAAGAAAATAAAACACAAGAAAAAAATACAAAAAAGAAAAATATACAGTACCTAACTAATCTCAAAAAATAGATGAACTATATTTAAAAAATAAAATAATTTACAAAATATTCATTTGTTTTATTGAAACATGGAATAATGTGAACAGGTTCAATAATAGATTCAATTGCTATAACAGTAAACATTGGAATACGTTTTACGTATGGACAATCATATTTAAATAAGCGGTGTAAGTCATTGTATTTAAAATAATACCAATGAACTAATGCCAATTCTTGTTCATCATGACCGGGAATTTTTAATCCAAATAACATTAAAATCCAATAAAAAAATTTTTTTATAAATAAATAAAAATATGCAAAATAATAATTCTTATTTTTACCTTTGCAAAACATACTCCATCAATTGTATTATATTTTTCAGCCTCCTCTTCGTTCATATTAATTGCAATATCACTAAAAGAAGGTGCATTGTAATAATTGCTTTTAGCTCGTATAGTATCAACTTCTCTAATAAATGCACTAGTATACCACTTAATAATTGTTGCTTCAACATCTTTATCAGTAATATTTTCGATAAGATCAAAATATTGATTTAATGAGTCAATTAATACTTCAAATGCTTTTTCAGCTTCTAATGCTAAAAAGTGAGTAGTTCTATATTCATCAACAAAGTCATTAAAGGTATCTAATGTAAAGCTGCCCTCAATTCCACCTAATGTTCTAATTTGACGATGCTTCTTGATTGAAGGTGGAGATGTTATTTTTTGGAGATAATTTAAAATACTATCATGTCGCACCTAATATGATATAAATGATTGATTAATTTTATATAATAAATTAATAGTTACGGTATGATAATTGAACTATACCAAATTAATTATTTGTGAAGTTGCATCCCGCCGATTGGACATTCTATATGGAGCTTTAATATAAAATTTATGTAACGACTCATAAGTTTCAGTCGTGAAACCATTAATTGCACCATAGTTTTGTATAGCATCAATAATGTGATGTTGCCAATTGTGTAGTTTTGGGTATTTCATTTCAGTATCTGCAATTGGTGTAAATAAATTAATAAATTTATTTGCCCAATCAATAATCATTTTCTAAAATAATAGATCAAAGAATATTAATAAAATACTTATAATTATATATTTTAAAATTTTATAATGTACCTGAAAGTTATCAAGTTCTGAATCTGTAAAAGTATCCTTACGGCTAAAAATATAAATTCTATTCCAGAATACAAATAAATCTACAAGCTTAGAATCATGTTGTTTTGCTTGAAATAAACTTAAATTTGATTTGCGTTTTGCAACAATTAGACCATCAATAACAAAGACCAATTGTTTCATCATATTTCGAAATTCTGCTGCTGTAAAATGTGCAATATTACCAAGACCACTCTTAAAAATCTTTAGCTCGGGAAAACGTGGGATCTTTGCCAAACGTTTATCAAATTCATCAATTCCATCTTTCCCACAATATAATTGAATATAATTTCTAGCAAAATTAACTTGATAATTGAATAAACCAAGATCGCAATGGTGCATGCGATCTGGTACTGCAGCACTATAAATATTCAATTCATTATAAAATGGATATAAAATTATTTTAAGTTATTTAAAGTTAAATATTGGATAAAGTAATTTTTATAAAATATTCTTACGGGAACTTCCAAAAGATATTTCGCATTGGATGAATAGAATATTCATGACAAAGGTTGTTATTTATTACAACCTGCATATTATTGGGAGTTCTTAGTTCTATTTGAGATTGCGATAAATTAATATTATTTAATTCATCAATTGTTACAGTACAAATATGACAAGGATGACTACTCCGAGATGAGCTGTAAGTTAACGTTAATGATGCATCTTCAGGCAGATCACCTATAAATTCTGATAGAAAAGGAAATGCCCAAATTATTTGATTGTCTGTTTTAATATCTAATCCATCACATTCATATATTGGTTTAGTCATAATATCAAAACAATATTGATATAACATCCTTTTAGCAGATGCAAATTCTGATTTATTTTCCTTACGATTATGAAGTGGTTTCAGCTTAGGCAAAATTCCTAATAAGACTTTAGCATCCAGTTTGTTTCTACGCCAATTAGGTATATTACCTAATGATAAATAAACAGGATGTTCTGAACTTTTGCCAAAATGGTCTAATGTAGTTGCATCAGAATATAATATTATAGATAAAACCTTTTTTAATCCTGTCCCAATTGATTTTTGAGCATTTTCCCACAACATTCCAGACCATTGCTCTCCATATACACACTCACGATGTCCATTTTCATTGGTAATATAATCCGGTGAACAATTCCATTGGCAATGATTTATGATATCGATATTAGATAATAGTTCTTTGATAGCTTCAAAAATAGGTCGATGATAAAGAAAATATTCTTCATCTTCATATTTTAATATTTTTGTTTTGAGATATAATAAATGTTTAATATCCATAGAACTAACAAATTCGAGACCTTGTACTGTATTTGTTGGTAAAATAATATCATCTCAGAGATGGTGTTTGAAAAACCATTTCAATATATCATTTACAGCTAAATTAGATAAGTGATGTGTTGATATGAGCTCCATAAATTCAGAATATGCAGCATCAGGAAATTGTGGTATATTACGACTTGAAATAGACCTTGTATCAATTAAGGATATTTTATCAGTTTGTTAAGGAGTATATAAAGTGTAGTTATGAATATGATCATAAACTGGCTCTTCCTCAATATCGATGATGGTTTCAGATGTTTCAAAATCAGTATCACTATCACTTTCATCCATAATACCTCTATCCATAATATTTTCATCTATGACACTTCTGTCTACAACACTTTCATCAGCAATATTTTCATTGACAACATCTTCATTTACAATTTCCATAATGGCATTGTTATCATCATCTACATTATGATCGTTATCTACATTGTATTCACGTTCATCTACATTATCCTTTATAAAAAGTATACAAAAGGTTATACAATATTAATTAAAAGTATAAAATTTAAGTACACATTGTTATAATTACCGTTATCACAAATTCTCTGGAACACTCTACTTTTTCTATACAAGAATCTTCCGAAACACTGTTTAATATTTCCCAATAGGCCTGACCTTTATGAGATTTTGTATGTTCACGAAGAGCAGCATGGCGTGAAAAGGTTCTTTTACAATTCTGATATGGACAGTTAAACATTCTGCACAAAAAATTTTGTTGTTTAATATACAATAGATTTTTATCATTAAATCAGATACAAAAAATACAAAAAATTTTATCTACCTAGGTAACTTCAATTAATTATATATTAATTAAGTCTTGTGATTTTGAAATTATTAATTTGTTGGATTACATCATGATATTAGCATTACGATCAATTGATCAAATCACATCATAATATTATAATCTTCATATCTTAGAAGATCAAACATTTTTCTTTTTTTTAAATACAATGTCATCAAGACGAGGAAGGAGAAAAAACTGTAATACTACTACAGATAGTGAATATGCCATATCCCTTAGAGAATTACTCAAAACTAATAAAACTTCTCATGAGAAAACAACTGTAGTGAATTATTTAATATTTTTTATGATATTTCTAACATTAATGTATATTATATATACCTTATTACGTGAATTTTATAGGTTGAATTAAGTAAAACTGATGAAGTACAAAACAGAAAAAAAAGAAGGAATGATTTGAAAGAAAATAAAAAACAAAAAAAT